AAACCAATTGATCTCATATATAAGTAACATACTACATGAAGGTAGTATGTTAGCAATGTACCCATTTTCCTTTTCTCCAAAATAACCCTTACTTCATGTTTTCTTGGTGAAATTCAAAAATAACCAGATTTATAAGTGGTAATTGAAAAATAGCCACAATTTCAAAAGTAATCGAAATTTAGTCACTTTTCATGTAAAGATAAATCTGAACGAAAACACTGTTCAAAATACGAAAAATATTCCAGCATAATATACTGGAGTTCGAATTTTTTACATGTGAACTTCCAGCATAATATACTGGAGTTCCAACATAATATACTTGTCCAACATAATATGATGGAAGTTCATATACAGGTGCTCCAATTTCCAGTATATTATGCTGGAACTTTTCGTGTTGTAGCAAAATAGTGGCTATTTTTTAATAGCTTTGTAAATGCTGACTATTTTTCAATTACCAGTTCGAAAACTGGATAGTACGTGCTATTTTTACTTGTTTTCTATTCATTAACTACAAAGGCACTTTGGTCTTTTTATCAAAGCCCAGCTAATTCCTCTTTTTCTCTCTATCAGCTGTTCTCTTCTTCCCCCGTTCTTTTGCTCTTTTCTTCTCCTGGTTTGCCATGGTTGATGAATCCCAAACCAACTAGCAGTAAGTTTTGAAGTTTGATTGGTTGATTGAAATTCAAGTAATAATTACAGTGACTTTTTTCAGTACTGGAAGTGTAGTTTGATAATTGGATCTAGAAATCTAATAGAATAGAGTAGAACGACCCATCTCGATAATGGTTAGTAAATTCTAGGATTTACTCATCAATTGTTCGAATATGCGAACTATTGGCCTTATTTGATTACGAAATCACGATCAAGAACAAATCAGGGTATCAAGAGCTGTTTAGGGTAGTAATTTTTTCTCTTATTTGTTATAAAAAAATTTGGAGGAATATGGTACAAGTGTAATGAGTTTCTTTGAGAAGATTTAAGATAAATTTAACGTATTACCAATGCATGAGATATGGACTAATTAAGAGGTGAAGAAGAAATGGAATAGTTCCTTTTTCATTGAGGGAGAGAAAGGAAAAGCAAGAGAGGGAAAGGAGGACATGGGACCGTGGCTTTAGATTTTGAAGTAAGAAGACAAAAAGGTCTTGCTATTAATGAATCGACAATTTGAAAGTAAGGGGTATTTAAGAGAAAGAAAAAAATAGGTACATTGATAACATATTACTCACATAGTATGGTAGCGAGATCTATACAGTATGTTAGCAAGACCCATATATATATATACAGTCAACCTCTCTATAATAACTTCGTTTGTTCCGAATATTTTTGGATATTATAACGAAGTGATGTTATACAGAACATATATTATAACATAACATGAAAATTAATTCCGAAAATAGCTTGACTTTTATAGTAAAGTGTTAACGTTATATATGGATGATATTATAAAGAGGTCTGACTATATATATATATTAGCTCTCCTTAGCTTTTTCATGATTTTATTTTTTATATTTTGACCCTACTCTTGTGAAAATTTTGGCTCTACCACTAAAGTCTCATGCCATTTGCTGGATGGTAAACCAAAAACTAATAATTTGAATATAATGTTCTAGTTATATTATATAATCATCACGTGATAATGCTCTAAGTCAAGTCGTAAGCATGAAATGAAATGAAACAAAAGTACTGAAAAAGGTGAAAGTGAGAGCACCAAAAGTATGGGCTAAAACCTAAAATCAATATATAGATAGGCTTGAAAGCAAAAGTAAAATAACTAGGGGGTTAGAAGCAGAGATCATGAAAAGTGAAAAAAGAAAAGGTAGGTTAAGAGAAGGGGCTCTCATGCAGATACGATGAGATAACAAAAAAAAAAAAGAAAATTCACTGCTTTTCAAACTCACGCTATGGCCCTCTCTGCAGAAACAAAAAAAAAAAAGAAAAAGCCACATTTGACTGACTTAATAAAACTATAGAGTATACATCAGCTGACGGTCAACGGCGGCTTGTAAACCGCTACTTGTCGGCTTGTCGGTTCTTTTGCTATATAGTTTCTGTTACTTTTTCTCTTTACATTTCCCAAATTCCCAATGCTTTTGTACTCTCTCAATTGCACACCGAGAAAGGTATAAACTTTTGCCTCTATTACCTACTCTTTAAAGAAAGTTTTTCAATCACCGTTAAGAATTGTGATAGAGTAATAACTACTCATTCATCATTTATAAGATATAACGGGTTCGAGTTTTGAATATGAAGTTTTTCTTGTTAGGGAATATTTTACTTTCAATGTAGAACTTTCCAGCACAATCTGATTTTAGTCGCGCCCCAAAGCAGATACTGAACACCAAGCGAAAAAATCTAAAAAAAAAAGTTTTCAATTCGAAAAAATCACATTAATGACAAGCATTTTGTTTGAGGAAAATGTTATTGGGATCTTGTAAACAAGAATTTTCCGTTGAAATGTGTTCGTTTAATTTTAAGTTTGTTCAAGAAGTTTAAGTTATTTTTAAATAATTTTTTTCTTGAAGAAGTGGTATTAGGGTGTTTTATGTAATTAAATATATCTATTAAAGTATTATCTTTTATTTGTACTATTTCTCTTAATATTTTTAATTCGAAATATATGTTTAAGTCATCAATATTACAGTAACTATTAAGCTTTAGGTATCATCAAAGGTTAATACAAAAAAAATATTTCCTTCAAGTTCTTAGCATTTAGCAATCCCAATTTTTTAAAATAATATTTATAGGTTTTAATAGGAAGGTATAAAGTGCAAAATGAAGGTTACATCAAGTTTAAGAAATTATAAAGATATGTTTATTTATCCGAGTGGACTTTTCCATCCCTCAACGGTCAAATCAACTTTACAATGATAAATTTTTATTATAAAATACTTAAACTTTTTAAAGAAAAAATTAACACATAACCTATTCCTTTTAAAATTGGGACCCCTCGAAATTGGGGCCTAAGGCATATCTTGCTTAGTCTTTGAGACGGCTCTGATACTTATAACCAAATCATTTGAAAATACTTTACTTGCGTTACACCAAATAAAGATAATAGGATAAAATTGCATACGTCATTTAATCGTGTAAGTTATATACAATTATTTTTTACGATTTTCTATATAACTTGTTCAAACTTAAATGTCAAATTCTTTTTTTTATAAGCAAAAAAAAAAAATTCTTTAATTAACCTAGTATATAGTATATCAAAAATACTAACTTGATCGATTCCCCTCACCAACAGCTTCTTCAGTCAGAGCTTGTCGCATTGAGCTTGTCCGGTTCTCACCCGAAAAATAGCAGCTGTGGATTTCCCAAGAAATTTTTCAAAAATAAAATAAAATAATATAACCTCATATTTTCCTCTCCGTGTTCCTCTACTACTAGCATACTAGCATATGTCTTCACTTTCATGCCATAACGCTTGAAAACGACTTAGCAAATGGTATAAAAAGCAAAAATATTTTTCCTCATTACAAAAAGTAAAGATATACTGTTCGTTTTGTGCACAAACACTTGAACATCTTCATGACAAAGTGTGTTAATTTCATGACAAAGTTAAATTAACAATATCAATATGTCATGTGAAAAATTCTTATGATATATGAAGAATTCTTGGAAAGAATCCTCTACAAAATGTGTGGGAACTTGGAACATTTTCTGTACTAAGTACGATTTAATTGGAATTTTTTTCTTTAGTCTGTGTTTATATATGTGATTATATTAATGACTATCTTTTGTGTTTTTCAACACCCCCATAATAATAATATTAATAATGATGATATTAATAATTAGTAAAATATTTGTCTTTCATGCCTCAAAAGCGTTAATAAGTCTGAGTTTCAGGTTGCAGTATGAGGTAACACTTGTCCTATCTCCATTCCCATGCCATCTTCATTTCTCTCTCGCTTGTATCTAATTCGGGTGCAATCTCTGCGCCATTTTTTCTGTTGGGAATATGACTTTGCCCCCTTTGACATGGGGCCCACATGCCTGAATTTGTAAGTCTTATTAGCCGATTTAGCTTGCGTTTGATATTTTTTTGAGAAGGTTTTTCCAGTACATAACTTCTTTTTTTATGTTGAGGATAGTTTTGCTAATTAAATATAAATATATATATA